GGGCGGCGGCGGCGGCGGCAAGCGGCGCGGCAGCTGCGGGGCCAAGCAGCCGGCGTGGAAGCGGCGGCGCCGCGCGGCCTCGGAGTGCGGCCCGGTGCTGCCCTCGGAGTTCCTGCTGGGCGGCAACATCTTCGACCCGCTCAACCTCAACAGCCTGCTGGACGAGGAGGTCAGCCGCGCCCTGAACGCCCGCACGCCGCAGTCCTCGCCGCTCCCGCAGCGCGGCCGCGACCCGGTGGAGATCCTGGTGCCGCGGGACATCACGGACCCGCTGAGCCTGAACGCGCCGGGCGAGGCGCTCCGCCTGGCCTCCCCCGCCAAGAGCGCCCGCCGCCGGCACCGCCACCGCGGCCAGCAGCGCTCCGCCAACACCGAGGAGCCCGCCGAGCCCCCCGCCGCCGCCGCGCCGTGCCCCGCCGCCGGCCGGCACCGCAAGCGCCGACGGACTTGCACCCGATCCGAGCCGCCTCATCCTCCTCATCCTCTTCCTCCCGTGGAGAAACCCAAAGCGGGCGGCAAAGCGGCGCAGCGGCCGCGGCGCCAGGCGCGCAAGTTCCAGTACGGGAATTACTGCAAGTACTACGGCTACCGCAACCCCGACGTGGAGGACGCGCGGCTGCGGGCGCTGCGGCCCGAGTGGTTCGCCGGCAAGGAGGTGCTGGACGTGGGCTGCAACGTGGGGCACCTGACGCTCAGCATCGCCAAGCGCTGGGCGCCCGCCAGGGTGGTGGGGCTGGACATTGACGGGCGGCTCATCCGCTCGGCTCGCCAGAACATCCGCCACTACCTGTCCGAGGGGCTGGGGGCGGACGGAGACCCCGCGGGGGGAGCCAGGAAAGGGTTCCCCGCCGCGCTCCTGGCCAGCCGAGGGCCCATCGCCGCCCCGCAGCTGCCGCCAGACGGGCCCGGGGCGGCGGATTTCCCGCACAACGTGGTGTTCGTCACGGTGAGAGGGGCGGGGGGGTCCCTGAGGGGTCTGGGGGTCCTGGTGCCAGTGAGTCTGGGGGCTCTGGGGGTCTCTTAGCCCAGAGCCACAGCCCCGGGGGGCCCTCTCTGGATTTTGGGGTGGGATCTCTGGATTTTGGGGTGCAATCTCCAGGTTTGGGTGCGACTTAACCCTTCCCTGCCCAGGAGACGACATGAGTTATTTCAGGGCGGGCTCTGTGGATTTCGGGGTGGAATCTCTGGATTTCGGGCTGGGATCTCTGGATTTTGGGCTGGAATCTCGGGGTTTCAGTGCAGTTTAACCCCCTCTTGCCCAGGAGACGAAAGGGGTTATTTCAGGGTGGGATCTCTGGATTTCGGGGTGGGCTCTCTGGATTTCGGGCTGGAATCTCGGGGTTTCAGTGCGGTTTAACCCTTCCCTGCCCAGGAGACGACATGGGGGGGTTATTTCAGGGCAGGCTCTGTGGATTTTGGGGTGGGATCTCTGGATTTCGGGGTGGGATCTGTAGATTTTGGGGTGCAATCTCTGGATTTCAGGGTGGGATCTCTGGATTTCG